ATGGGGAAAAGTGGGGGGAAATGGGGAAAAAAATGAGGGAAAAAATGTGAAAAAATGGGGAAAAGTGGGGGAAAATGGGAGAAAAATGGGGAAAAATAGGGGAAAAATGGGAAAAAATGGGGAAAAGTGGGGGAAAATGGGGAAAAGTGGGGAAAAAATTCCTGCTCTTCTTAGTGTCCTTTGACAGGGCTCAGAAGACCTCCTTGGTCCTCCTTGAAGGTATTTCAGAGTTGTTCCCCAGCACTTACTGAATGCATTTGTAACGTTTGCTCGCTGAAATGTTATTAAAATTCCCTGTTTTGCTAAAATAAAAAGGGAATGAGGAGAATTTGTGGCTGATTCAGCAGCATCTGAGCAGAAGTGTCTCCTGTCCCCCTATGGCAGGTGGTGCTAAGGAGTTTGTGAGCTGCTTTTCTCCTAAAAAAGCATCATTTTAGAGAAAAACGGTGTCCAGGTGAAGCAGAACCATAAGCAGGGAAAGGGGAGTGATGGAGGGTTCTCCTGGTTTTGGGTGGTGTTGGTGCTGGTGTCTTTGGTGGCTTTTCTGTTGGAAAGGTTGGAGGAAAATACATGGAAAGGTGGTGGAATATTGCTTGCCAGAGGTGGAGATGATGGGATCAGGTGTTGCAGTCTGGATCCAGGAGATCCCCTCAAATCCCATCCCAAGAGATCTCCCACACCCCATCCTGCAGGATCCTCCATGTCCTGTTCTAGGTGATCTCCATGTCATGTTCTAGGTGATCTCCATGTCATGTTCTAGGTGAACTCCATGTCATCTTCTAGGTGATCTCCATGTCCCATCCTAGATGAACTGCCTGGTCCCATCACAGACTATCCCCAACGTCCCACCTCAGGTGATCCCCCATTCTAAGCCATCCCTCATCTGCCACCCCATGTGGTCCCCCTCTTAGGTCCCATCTTAGATGATCCCCCAGATCCCATCCCAGATGATACCACAGATCCCATCCTGGGTGATCCAATTACAGGTGATCCTCCAAGTCCCATACTAAGAAGTGATCCCTAGTCTGACATCCCTGGTGACCTCCTCCAAGGTTCCATCTTAGATGATACCCCAGATCCCATCCTGGGTGATCCAATTGCAGGTGATCCTCCAAGTCCCATAGTAAGCAACCCCCCAATGTGCCATCCCAGGTGACCCCCACCCAGGTCCTATCTTAGATGATCCCCCAGGTCTTCTTCCAGAGTATCTCCCAGGACTCATCTGAGATAATCCCCCAAGCCCCACTGTATATGATCCCCATGTCCCATCCCAGGTGACCCTCCTCCAGGTCCTCTCTTAGCTGATCCCCTACATCTCATCCCAAGGGATACTCCAGGTCTTAACCTAGAGGGATCCCCCAGATGACCCATACCCCAGGTTCCACCCTGTGATCTTCATCTCCAGGTGCAGAGGACCACCCTGACCAAGTTTTGGGGTGGAAATGGCCAGTCACTCCCTCACCACCCCATCCCCTGACTTTCCACCCTGCACAGACCCCTCCCACCTTCCAGGCACCGAGAACATCTCCTGTACCTGCTCAATTAATTTAATCGTTAACCAACACCCCATATGAACCACCCCATGAGTCATGGAGCTGCCCTGTGTCAGGAGAAGCAGCGTGTGAGCACCAGGCCAGGTCCTGCTCATCCCATCAGCTCCATCCCCTCCAATGGGGCAATTTGAACCTCAAAATCTGGATTTTGGGGAGCAAAATGCCCTCCCTTGGCCATACCAAAGCAACTGGGACCCTCCCATGTGTCCATCACCAAGTGACGAAGGTGGAAACCTTCCCAAGCATCAACGTGGAGGAGAAACGGGCAAATATCTCCCATGAAAAAGGACAAATAAACTTTCTTTGGGCTGATGCTGTTGTTGCTGGAGCTGCAGGGTTGGTGTTTCTGGCCAAGGGATCAACCTCCCACTAAAGATCATCATTAAAACAAAAAAAACCCAAGGCAGCCCAGAGGCCAATAACCGTGTCCTGGGCTGCACCCAGAGCAGCGTGGGCAGCAGGTGGAGGGAGGGGATTCTGCCCCTCTGCTCCGCTCTCCTCAGACCCCACCTGCAGTGCTGCCTCCAGTGCTGGGGCCACCAACAGCACAAGGACATGGAGCTACTGGAG